CTAGCCCAAGTGTCTCAAGAACAGAAATCAGAAGTTTATGATCTATGTCTCTGTCCTCCTTTACTGTTGGTGCCACTTCTTTAGCATTTGAAGCGAGTCAGTTAAAGTCAACCTCGTCCCCAGGGTGTCGAGCAGTACGCGACCACCACTACCTGCTCTCTCACCCTGGTATTGGATCATTTGCATTTCGCTCGTACCCCCCGCCCTGCAAACAGGACGCTGGGATACTCTGATGAATTCACGATCTAATTGGTTGGATTTTGCGTGGACAGTGACCTGTGCGTCATCAAGGTCATGACTCTGCAAGGTTTGAAACGGCCCTTAAGTCTAATTCATTACTCTTTTATTCCAGTTAAGAGATGTTTTTTCTCGTTGAAAAGCGTAATAATGTAGGAAATTCTGTAAAACTTATCTGTGTTGTAAATTTACAATTCCCGTCACTCGCTCAGGCTCCGATTCGAATCACGAACGGTCGGATTGTATTATGCGACGCTCAAAATTGTGTCCACATGGTCCGCAATGAAACAGAAATCACATCCGGTATGGAATGTGCACAATTCTATGGCGAGTTTTCGGATAGCATTTGCGCACATTGTCTAACTGCCGTCTTGAACAGCTGCAGCCAGATGCTTTATACATAGGTCATAGGCAACTTCCTTCACAAGATTCTGTGAAGCTCATCAGAGTATCCCAGCGTCCTGTTTGCAGGGCGGGGGGTACGAGCGAACATTTGCATGTGCAACATTTTTGAACACGTATGCAATGAGGGATAGTCTGGTGCCTGCCTTTGCATTACATTAACGTTTGTGTTTGTATGCGGTATCTAGGGTGATAATAGGCTCAATTCGTCGCGCCGTGCGTTACGAAAACACGATTGTTTTCGAAGTTATAATGTTACAATCTTAGCCCGCCAATATGCATTATCACACTCACATTAATATGAGCAAATTAGAGAGGAAAGGAGTATTTTAGAGAAGGCGTGGACGTTATAATTACAAATATCGTGAAAACACGTATAATGCACGTTGGAAATAACAACACCAAGTACACGATTTAAATCCATGCCTTACTAGCCAATTGCGGTATCGAATCAGGATACAGGAAGAAAGTTTCCTATCCAGGGCTTACTATTGGAAACGAGGTTGGAAATAAAGTAAGCACTGGGGACGAGGTTGGGCTAAAGTAACTTGAGATCTGTTTTGCTGTCAAAAACTCTGAAGCAGTTAACAGTCTGTTTCCTGGTGTGTCTTTCTTTTGCAACAATCGCAGGGTCACATTTTGTGACACTCACTTCACCCAGATTGAAATTTTCATTTAGGAAAATTCTTTTGTTGTTTGTTGAAGTATTCTGATTGACGACGTTTCTGCACTGCCCAACCTGCAGGCAGTGCTTGTTCTTTGCCCTCAGCTGGAACTACTTGTGTGTCTGTGCTGGTGATTACTCTTGCCCCAACCTGCAATTTCTCTGCATACATGATTTTCACCTTGTCGTGGAGTGTATGCCTTTCTAATAATCGTGTGTGTGTGCCACATAACAAAATGGTGATTCAAATAACAAAAAAAGTCTTCTAGGAATCAATGCAGCCTTCTTCGGGACAGGGAAAAGTTCTGGGTGAGGTGCACTTTCCATTTGCCTTTGTAGCTTTCCACTTCCATCATCATCCAAAAGTATTAATCAGCAAGATGCAATACCAGTGACAAGAGTGAGGCTAGTTTTGTTAAGTTTTCCATTCCATGTTTTACTAAGGTGTAAGTGTACCTCAGTAATCACCTGAAACAAAATTATCAAACATTTCTGTCTGAATTTTCTACATATAATTCATAGTAAATATCAGTGTTGTAGTCAAGGCCACAACCTCCGAGGCCGAGGCCAAGGCCGAGGCCACAACCTCCGAGGCCAAGGCCGAGGCCGAGGCCACAACCGCGAGGCCAAGGCCAAGGCCGAGGCCACCACCTCCGAGGCCAAGGCCGAGGCCGAGGCCAGCTATCAAAACACGTAATAAAATATAAATCACTAAAACAAGGCTAAGATTATGTTTGAGTTTTAACATCTTTTTAGTTGAATTCACTGAATTTTGGAGTGCCTGGCTTACAAATTTACAGCTTGCAATAGGTTTCTTCTTGTAGGGAGTCCGGCGAATTTTATTTTTTAAAGAAATCTCAAGTTTTGTATTACTGAAAGCAAATTACACAACAAAATCAAAGGCGTTTGAATCAGGCTCATAGGTGTTTGCCCTTTGGAGATACAACAATTTAAATGGCCAAATTTTGAGTTTCTATTCTGTTAGATTTACATTATTTACTTTTAACATGTTTTATAAATCTTATTTTCAAAACCTATCAAAATGCTTAATATCATAGGAATCCCCATTAAATAAACAACAACTTGATTATTGAATCAGGTTTTTACCACTCATGATAACCAAAAAGTTACAACCCCCCCCCCCCCGACCTTCGCACTGTCCAGGTGCGCGCCGGCGCCGAGCAAACACCGCGATGCGACCAGACAATGCCAGACGGCCCGCCGTTACGCACGGGCAAAGCATAGTTCCAATCCCGCTCCACACAACGGGATAAGTGTCCACGCATTATCACTGTTAATACCGCGGTACCAGACAAAGTCTGGCAATGGCCAATCGATCCCGCTCCAAACAACACGGCAACACGGAACATGCGTGCATGATATCACTCAGTTCATCAAAATGACCATGAATTCTCGGATCATCCGATTTGAATCCAATGGCTTCGAAGAATTTTAAGATCATGGCAAGAGGTAGGGAGTCCAGAGGTTTTGGCCGTATATCTGTAACCACGCAAAATTAGTCAATTTCAAACCGTGCTTATACATGTAATAAGTATCAACATGGCTCTAAAAATACAAAAAAGTATTCTGGTACCACGAGGAATACTGACTCCTATTATTAAAACATTCATTCAGAACTTTGCATTAATATTCATTTGGATGGAAAAACGAATTCTGAAATCGCGCTTTCCATATCGACCATTTGCGCCAAACATTACCGTGTGAGCCGGAACTTTCATTTAAATCACCGTGTAAAAATAAAATCTACTTGATAAATCGTAACTGTTTTTATCATATCTTTATGAAAAAAAATGGTACGGACTAGTACACTCGATCGTACCCATAAAGTTCAGACTTGTACTGAAACAGTGGCCTATAAAAAGAAATGATTAAGCTTGCCGCACCTTGCCGCAAATCATTTTTAAAGGTCGGGGTACAGAGGCGAAACGAGAAAATTTTTGTACAACACTGCAACCAAACTAGTCTACTACCACATGTTATTGTACGCAGATGGGATTGGTGCCAGACTTATGTAGTCTGGCACGCGGTAACAGTTATAACGCTTGCACGCACATGGAAAGCTGAAGCGCAGGCTAGGCGAAGAGGCTACGTACGTGAGTACGTTCAATGCAACCATTTCCAGTTCATTCGTGCGTACACTGTATATGCGTTCGTTTCACGGAACCCACTGCGGCAGACTCTCGAGGGTTTGATACGGTAAAAATTTAAATTAATTAGAATAGAAAACACATCAAAATGGGCGGCCTCGAGCCGGCCTTGACCGATTCGCCGAGGCCGGAAGGCTCCGAGGCCGAGGCCAAGGCCGAGGCATTGCACCTCCGAGGCCAAGGCCGAGGCCAAGGCCATGAAAATCGGCCTCGAGGCCGGCCTCGAGGCCGAGGCCGGCCTCGAGACCTCCAACACTGGTAAATATTTACTTCTTTTGTTATTTGCACCACTACAAACGAAATGAAACCGCTGGTGTGGGGATCAATGCCACCCATTAAGACCAATGCTGGCTCTAATCAACTCCAAAGGGAAAACATTGTGAGACCCCTGACGAGTTGACTTATTGAGGGACAAAAATAGGTAAAACTACAATTTTGCAAGTTCTACAAACATGCTTTAATGCACATTCTGAAAATAGCATAAGGGTGACATTTAAAACATTTCATTTTTTTCTCAAGTAAGGTCAAAGATGGTACTGATATAGTTGATTTTGTGATATAATTTTGCATTTTGGCTGGGTGATATTTAAATGTAAGCTAAAAAAAAACACCGTTTTTTAAGGCCCCAACTCAACCTCGTCCCCAGTGCTTACTTTATTTCCAACCGCGTTTCCAATAGTAAACCCTGGATAGGAAACTTTCTTCCTGTATCCTGATTGGATACCGCAATTGGCTAGTAATGGATTTTTATCGTGTACTTGGTGCTATATATTCACAACGTGCAGTACGTGTTTTCGCGATCATTCGTCCACGCCTTCTCGAAAATACTAATTTCCTTTCCAATTTGCTCATATTAATATGAAATATGATACTGCATGTTGTCTTGATAAGATCGTAACAGTTTGATTTCAAAAATCGTGTTTTCGTAACTCACGCCGTGCTCGCGCTGCTACGAATTGACTCTGTTTTTACCCCAGACACCGCATACAAAAACAAACGCTAATGTGTAACGCATACCCAGGCACCAGACTGTTCCTCATTTGCATACGTGTGCAAAAATCTTGCACATGCAAATGATCCAATACCAGGGTGAGAGAGCAGGTAGTGGTGGGCGCGTACTGCTCGACACCCTGGGGACGAGGTTGGCCCCAACTGGCTAAAAATGCCCAAAACACAAAATGGCCTGTTACCATGGCGACATGGTTACTTGCTCACCAAGTCCTTTAATGTTTTTTTTTTTTAATGCCGAGGACACTTAGACCTATATGAAAAATTTACGTGGACCCACTCTGAATAATGAATTACTAAGGATGTGTCCTTCCGCCCTATATTTAGTGCTTCTTTCCAAAGTCCAACATGACATAGCATTGCACACGCAACATTGAACGAGGGATAGAATATTAATTACTTGCAAGGTAAGTTATTATATAAAAGAGGCTGGGCTGCCTCTCGTCTCGGCATTCAGACGCAAAAGGAGGTTGATGATATTTCGAGCAAGAGACCGATGAGTGCACAGCAAATAAACCAACATGGAGGAGATTCTGTGGCTGCGTATCTTCAAGACCATCGTGGGTATTGTCGGCATCTTGGGTAACGGTCTCGTCTGTCTTGTTATCGGTAGAGTCTCATCGATGCAGACTCGCACCAACGCCTTCATCTTCCACCAAGCTGTGGTGGATCTTCTTGGTTCATTTATGACTCTTTTGCAGAGTGAGGCCCCGCTACCCGACCCCGTGCCAAACAACGCCTTTGGGTGGGTAGTGTGCCACGTTTGGTACTCCAACTTCGTACTTTTTCTTCTGTTCATCATATCAACGTACAATCTGTTGTCGTTGACTATGGAGCGGTACTTCGCCATTATTCACCCGTTCAAGTACCAAGCAGCCTTCGCCAAGCGCCCAAGACTGAAAGTTAGCGTGATCATTGCGGCGTGTTGGATCACCGCGATAATCCTCAAATCCTACAACCTCACCATCTTCAAGATGCAAGACGGAAGGTGCGTCTCGAATGCCGAGAATCGGTCCAAAATCATCGGGGGCCTGACGGCCGTTCTGCAGTACATAGTGCCGGTGACAGTGATGCTGTTTGCGTATATTCGCATCAGTGTGGAGCTCAAGAGAGGTGCGGCCCGGGTTGGACCGGCACCGGCCAACGTAGGTCCAGCTGCCGGAGCATCGTCGGATGACAACGCCCAACCAGAAGGTATGATGGAGTCCCTACTCCGAGCTAGACGTAATACCTTCAAGATGCTCTGGATCGTCTTCATCACCTTCCTGGTGTGCTGGACACCAAACCAGGTCATCTTTCTCTTGTTCAATCTGGGTTGGAAGCTCAACTTCGACGAGTGGTACTACCTGCTCTCTGTAGTGATGGTGGCCGCTAATTGCTGCGTCAATCCGGTCATCTACGCCTTCAAGTATCGTCAATTCCGCAAGGGGTTACGCCAAGTATTTTGCAGACGACTCATGCGCCTTGAAGAAGCTTCCAATTCCGTGTCTTTCACGCAAACAAGATAGACGTTGGAACGAACGCTTAGGCTTTTACCTGATGGGATTCCCCATAGAATTAGTCAGTTACAAAAGTCAAAAGCAAAAGCAGTTATTTATCTTACGAGGTAATAAACTGTTTTCCCGGTTGGGCTTCATCGTTAAATTCCATTTCAAAACCTGCTCCAACTTCATTTTGAGCGGTCTTATTCATAAATTCAGTGTTCTAATTCAAATCCGTCTCATATGGAACTTGGTATTGTCTTTCGGGCGATGACGTCATCATGCTTTTTTTTGTATTTGACATCCGTCACTAAACATTTCCAAAATTGTTCAATATTATTGTAGTAAAATGCTTCAGCTTAAAGTTATATTCAATTCCCATTGCACACCCGGTAACCACGGGCGTCGCTAAACCATTTTGAATGGGGTAGGGGGTGCCATCCCATGAAATTTGCCGACGGACCGTCACGCAAAATGAGTGTAATTGATAATTTCCGCCCAAAATGGTCCCTTTAACTCCATTTCTATATGAATGGTTAATTATGTTGATTACTTTGAATGGGTTTAATTTTCAGTGGGATAAGATCAACTTCAAAAGTAAGTCGCCAAAATTTAGTCCTATCATATTGAAAAGTTTTGGACATTTTGCTCATCGCAAAACTGCGTGTACACGCTCAGTATTCGTGTGCGCATACTTTGCTTGGACCCGTCCCTGATCCCAGACTTGGGGGGGGGGGGTGTTCTTTAAATCCTATATGCGAGTGCGGAGCGCGAAGCCCTGAAGGCGTGGGGTCGGGGCCCACTTGAGGGCCCAGGGATTTGATTTTTTTTTTAATTCTAGATGCTTTGTGGTGCAATCTGCATCTGAGGCATTTCCTGGCCACTTTCCCCTGACTTTTTGAATGACATGTGCTTGTCTTTAGGGAGATGGGGTGGGTCATCAAAGTTAATTACATTTCAAACATCACATCAAAACTGTAGCTTGACTCTCTTTGCATGGTTTTGAGTCGTCACTAAGAATCAGCTCAATTCGTAACTGCCTGCGAGCGAGCAAGTGTGTTTTGCACATATGTAGCTGTCAACCACCGCATATGAAGCGACCTCGCGCAGCAGCTCATGCCGACATGACAGAATGTGCAATCTTTTGCCTTGGGTTGCAGAACCGGATTTTAGCTTCGCGGGGTTTTGTGCAGCGGCGTTTATTGTTAACATTTTCCAGTTTTTCTTCTTCCCTCTTCCTTTCTCCTTTATTCTCCATTCTTCATTTTCTATTTTGCCGACATCTACAATATTTTCCCACATTATTGGGTGTAAGAACTTGGAAGTTGTTTCATCTTGCACACGGACCGCCCGGTTCGTGTGATTCACGTTCTTTAGCGTTTCTTTAACACTAAAAGGGCCGGGGGCGGAATCCGCCCCCCCCCCGACTTTTTCTGCGATAGCCTTGAAACAAAACAAATTCGCGACCCGAGCTGTTGTGACTTTTTAGCCTCGAGCCTTGCGCATCTTTTGATACCAAAAATATAAAAATCGACTACGGGTTGCCGCGTAGCGAAAAATTCTGAATTTTCCCATATACGTTGTGTACACAGAGCAGAATTACCATTCGTACATATGAATAATTAATTAGCCATAATTCCAAATTCTTTAATCTATAGTCATGAAATTTCTTGGGTATGTTTATGATGAGTTGCTCTATGCATGTACCGAGATCTTAGGGGGGCGGAATAAGATGGTCAAAATAACCCGGCCCTTTTAGGGTTAACGGAATTATGTTTATAAAAGGTAATATTTATGGTAAAAAACGTGCGTGACTCACAAGTCACCAGTCATTAGCGTCAAGTCCGAGTCATGATGGCCGAGTCCGAGTCTTTTGCCGATTGTTTGGCGAGTCAGAGTCACAGAAATCGCGACTCGAGACAGACTCCAGCCCGAGTCCTGGACTCGAGTCCTACAACACTGCGTCAAAGTAATATGCACACCTTGGGCTCAGGGTTGTTAGACATTCAAAGTAGGGCCGCAAGTATATAATATTCGGTTACTCGATTATTTGATTGAAGTGTTGATTATTCGGTTACATTTTTATATTCGATTAATCGAAAACTACTTCGTGAAATTGAAGGCTACCTTTCAGAAGGCGTAAGAGAACTGCCAAAAACGTCTAAAACTCAAACATTCCACGTAGCACTGGATGATATGGCTATAAAATGTCGCCACGAATATGATGTTTTAATAAAAAAAAATCGGAATCGTCTTAGTTAAAAAAAAATCGAAATATAGGCGATAACGTTTGTAAATTGTCCCAGTTTTCTCAAAAAATCAGCCTTCAATTAATCGAAACCGTAATCTAAAAGGGAACGATTAATCGATCGAAAAATAATCGTAAACTTGCCGCCTCATTCAAAGTTCCAAGTTCATATCATTAAATGTTTACAAGAAAAGTCGCGGAGAAGTATTGTCCAGGAATAAAAAGAAAGGAAGAAAGAAAACGAACGATTCAAAACGGTGATCGGGTTGAGCCCGATCAGCCAATGAGTGTTAAAAAAGAATTAAGCGAAAAAACCGACAATTTTAAGTCGAAATATTCCTTGTGGTTTTCCCTCTTCGGAACTACAACCCGACACAGTACATAGAATTCACAGATTCATTTAAATCGAACTATAGAAGAAAGGCAATTCAGTGCAACTGGATTTCGAGTAATCTTGCGGCGAGCTGCACTCTTTCACCACCTGCACGTTCATTTTCACCACTCAGCTGTGTACAGAATTGATCCCTCTGCAGTATCAAATACGATAAAACTTTTGTATCCCATTGCGGGAAATTCCATGGCCTTTTTCACACGCACATTTTAAAAACACATTAAAAACATGAATGTAAAAACTACACAAATACTAAAATACATACATACATGAAAAACTAATGCTAATGTATGTCAATAAATAAAAACGAACAAAACAACTCATATTTACTATGTACCTGTTTGTTATTCCTACTTCGTCAACGGAGGATAGTGGTTGCAACGTAGCAGCTGACAGCTCAGCGTTTCAACTGGTCATTGAACAACCTGATAGCTGCTGGAACAAAAAAAAATGAGCTGCCATTATAATCGCGTAGTTCTTATCCTCCGTTGTAGAAGATTGTTACTTCTGGAGTTTTGGACGAACTTTGTATGCAGTGGATGGCACCTGCCAGACATAATTATTGTACCTTATTGCACATGTTAGACTTGAATAAGTCAATCAGTTGTTCCTGTTGATGGCAAACACAGTGTCAACATTATACGGTAACTACAAGTTAAAGACTTATTCAAGATAACCACTCGAACAAATTATGTTTAACATCACAGGTTTTGAACTGATTGCCGTTTCCATTTTCAAAGAGCGTTCCATTAGATGTAGCTGTAGTTAAAAACTGAATTTCATTCGATGTAGCCCCAAAATGGTGTTGTATATCAGTTTGCAAAGAAGCCCGTTCAGTCGGGGAATCCAGAGGTCATTACGTAATTAAAAGTGAAATAATGAGGACTAAAACGCTTTGAAGATTCATAATTTATGTTTCATTTCAGATAAGAAGATAAGTCGCAAGAGGCTTGTTTTATGTCGGCTATGCGTTAGCCCTTCTTTGAGCACTGTAGAAAATGATAACGATAACCTTTCTGATACAGTTACTAACAGTAAGGATCCACTTCACCATACATTTCAGATTTCCTCCCTGGAAAACAGGTCATCTTTAATTCTTTTAAGTTAAGGACCTTGGTTGAGCTGGAACCAATTTAAGTCTCCAAGACCATTAATTCCATATTCATTGTCGAGTCTCGTAGGCATACCGCTGTTAATTACAGGGAACGCAAAAAATACAGTCAAAGAGGTTCATCCCAAGCTCAGAAAAAATAGTTACGAATTTTGCAATCACCGATGAAGGAAGCTCAGGATAATAAGTTGCGAATTGTTCAATTACCGATGAAGGTGAGCTTCTTTTCATAGAGATTGATTGGATTGAGTTCTTTTAACCTGAACGGTTTCGGCATCAAAAAGGTTCCTAGGGCCGTCGAAAAGAACACAATTAGACTCGACCTTCTCATGAAGTTCCCCGCAATTTGCCTAATGTTTTTAAATGCAATTCCTTGACAGTTAGGCTTTAATTTTCCAAGACAAAATAAAAGGCCGGGTATTCAAGGATAGAGTTGTTTCTTTCCTTTAGTCAAAGCACATGTTTTTTATGATAAATAAAAAAACGTGAACCACTGTCATGTGGCCCATTTCCGGTTAAATATCACGTCAGCAATCAAACTCAAGCACAAAACATTTAATTCTGATAGTTTCCGGCTTGTAGTTAGTGTAGCGAAAGGGAAATAAAGATACCAAAGAAAGAAGTCCAGAGTTGTTGTACAGAGTGAATGTAATGTAACTATAATTATGTGGCATGTTCTGTCAATACTAGAGTATGACACGTCTGGGCAGAGCTCGAATGGAGAAATGAGAAATAAACAACGTTCGTCTGTTTTCCCCGATTTTCTGTTTTTGCTCATTTGTAATTCTAAAGTATGTCTTAAATTTAGGGCCTACTTTAAAAGTTGGAAATCGTAATTTCTGCCCAAAAAGTGATGTTGTTTTGATGATTTGATCTGTATATATATAAAGTTGTGGCAACCTAAAACTTGAATCAGGCAATGTCTCTATTTTCACCTTTGTGACCTGTCACTAACTTCAAATGGTCCTAAAATTGTACCAAGAAATATTTGTTTTCAAAACTTAAACAGAGTAGGCCTAAAAATGTATATATCAGAACAAACAAAATACGATAAGAAATATGGATGGTTGTTGTTCTGACATACATCGGAGAGATTCTAAAAAAATACTCATTTGTAGGCACAAGGCCCTCATTGTTTGTTTGGTCATTCTTAAACATTTACCAAAAAAACATAACTGAATAAAACAAACATGCTGGTGCGCAGCCGGCAGGGATTAACTACATCGGATTATACTCACAGTGCATTGGCAAGAATGGACTCTTTTGTCAATATTAAG